GTTACACTTGTTGTATGCAGCCTTGTGCTGTCAGGCAGGAGGACAACATTTTTCTTTTAATCCACAATGTATGCTGCTATTGTAATACGAAAGTTATGGTATGTAAGTATTTTATTCTTAAAAGTACCATATGATTAACAGTTAGGATGATACATTCGTCATTAGAACTGGTTCACATGGAAATTACTTATGAGTAATTGGTGTCCTGAAGTTCCAGTAGACGAAAACTACAAAAGAAAGTCAGGAGTCTATGAAGCAAACATAGTGATACATGTCCATCATACAATACTGTGAAACCCAAGATGCTGCACAGAGTCTAGGAGTCCTTCAATAGTGTGAACATCTGAAACTGTTCATTATGCTGACCAACTGACAAATCTTAGTGAAATGAATTACTGAGATACTAGAAATATCCAGGTAAAATATTGGTTTCATAATTCATGATCAGTTGAGTATACAGAAGCTGTCAGCCATGTGGGGATCAAAATGTTTGTTGACTAGAAATTACAGCAAATGGAGAAATCTGAGTTGAGTTGGCAACATTTTCAGAAATCCATTTTTTTTAATGACTTGATACAATATGATTTACTCCTGAAACCAAACAACAATCTATGCAATTGAGTCCTGGGATTCTCCATGGCTGATGAAATTTAAGCCACAAAATGTCAACAAGTCATAGCCAAGACATTTTGTCAACTACACATAGATGCACACCTCAATGCAATCTTCAAAGCAAGAGTATATCAAAGCCTGAGATTGACAGTCACTATGCTATTTTGATTCTATGTCCACACTGTATGTATGAGTATATACACTCACTGACCGCTTAATTAAGTACACATGAACAAATGTTCTTTTTTGAAAATTTCTAATCAGCCAATGAAATGGCAGCAATTTAATAAATATAGGCATTTTAAACATTGTCATAGCAACCTGCTGAATTTTATTTCATGCATTAGTACGAGAAAGAAAAGTGAACATTGAAAAATTGAAGTAGCACTAAATGCAAAAGGTTCAACCCAGTTCTACAAGAGTATACATAAAGTAACCAGTCTGTGTAATTATGAATATAAATAAGTAAAAATATGTCCTATTAAAAATGTATAACAGATAAGTTAACTAACATGACTGCGAGTTAGACCTTTAAAAAGCAAAAGAATTGATAAATAGAATCCTTATAAAAGGAAGAGATTTTATTTTTTATTATTAGTTTCAATCAATTTCTTCATTCTAATACTCTTTCTTTTTTTATTTATGTTTTCGTCCTAAGTACTTTTAATTCTTGTTATGAGAAAAAAGCAAGAAAGATGCTAGTCAAAAATAATCCATATATATATATAAAAATCAATGTGGATCTGTTGGCATGGACTTATGTGATAATCACATATGCTAATTAAGACTATATTGTAATGTAAATAGATATGAGGATATGCTGAAAATTTCTTGACCTGACCCATTTGTCAGAAGTGACCCACGAGATCAGAAGACTTATTTTGAAAAGTGGCTTGTGTACACCCTTGTATATGATTCTACATTTCAGATAAAGTATAGAAATTTGAGTATAAGGTGATGACCTCTAGGATATGTATACATACATCTAGGACAAAGGCATATTGAAGAATAAATTAACTTGCTGTACTTATGTATATGTATTTCTAAAGAATTAATGGTTCTATTTTTAATCTGCCTTTTTTATGACCAAGCATTATTATAGTGGATATCTGTATCTGAAATAGACGATTTATTTTTATTTTCACTTTAAACAGTGTGCATTGTCTGTGGGACTGTATACTCCACTTGAGAAATCTCAATCAAGGAAAAGTGTTCTTCGGCTGTACTGTGATGTTTTTTGTAGCCAAGTGGTAAAACACACCAGATCAAACAGTGGTTTCTCCTACAAAGGGGGATGCAGGTTTGTTTCATGCCAGAGAGCATATTTTCTTTAGATTTCTTAAGAATGGCAGGCTGATAGATGTAATACACACTCTTTAAAGTAAAAATGGGGCATCTATTTCAAATACGAATATCAATTCTAATAACTTTTGTATATATATATATATATATATATATATATAACGTCAGAAGAAAAAGCAACAGTCTTGGAGATCATTTTACAATAATCTTCACACTTTTGCTACAAAGCTGTTCACCAAGACTAAGAGTGGCAAACTCGATGTAAGGCAGGAGGAATTTGTAAACCACCTGAGGATGATGTATTCTGATGCTTGGAAAGACATTCTAATCATTCCAATGAATGACCTTCCTAGGCCTAAGATCCAGAGGTCATGTTTAATGACAGCAGACTAAAGCTGAGAGAAATTTGGGAATTCGTCTGCAAATCACATGCCGGTAGTGCACCTGGAATGAATGGATTATCCTATGTTATATAACAATTGCCCAAATATCTTAAAGTAACTCACTATCCTCCTGCAGAAGGCATGAAAACAAGATATTGTACCACAAGAATGGTGTCTGATGGATGGCATTTGTATACCTAAAGAAAAGAATGCAAAAGATATTGCAAATTTCCAGCCCATCTCCCACTTGAACGTAGAGGAGAAAATAATTTTTTTGATCTTTGCTCATCATATAACGGACTTTGTACTAGGTAACCATTACATAAACACAACTGTCCAGAAGGCTGGGATACCTGGCTTCCCCAGCTGTCTGAAATATTCACACATGATTTGAAACTCAATCCTAACAGCCAAACAAAAGAAAAACATGTAATTTGGCTTGATCTCACAAGTGCGTATGGATCAGTTCCTCAGGAGTTAATTTGAATATCCCTCAAATTTTTCAATTTCGTTTGTAAGGTTGGGGAAATGATAATGAAATATTTCAGCGCAGCATTTTTGCAGTTCACCATTGGTAACTGCACCACCAAGTGCCAAGTCCTTGAGGTTGGCATCATGATGAGGTGTGTGATTTCACTTTTCATTATGTCCATAGAACTCATATTGTGGGGTGAAGTGAACACAGCAAAGAGAGTGATGACTAAGGAACAAGTAGTCCTTCTTCCTTCCAGAGCATTCATGGATGACATCACCAATCTGGTCCCATCTAAGATCAGTGATGATGAGCTGCTGCAGTGCTGCCATAAGTTCTTCATATGGGCAAGAATGAAGACTAAGGCGAAGAAAAGCCGAAGCTTATCATTACTCAGAGGCTCTGTCAGGGAGATTCACTTCTGCATTGGGGGCGACATGATCCTGACAATCAAAGAGAAGCCTTGGACTGCTGTATGAAATTCCACTGACTGATTGGCACTGAGGTAAAGAGGTGAAGAAAATGGCATGAAATGGACTTTACTCCATCAACAGAATCCATCTCTCCGGCAAACTGAAAACTTGGTGCTACCAACATAGTTTGCTGCTCTGACTTCTGTGCCCGTTGCAGGTGTATGATATTTCTCTGCCTCACATCCAGCAGACACAGCAGTATATCAACAAGTTTCTGAATAAGTGGCTTGGAATTCCTCTTTGCTTCTCCACAGTGGGACTCTATACCAATGTCATGAATCTGCAACTTCCCATCTCTTCATTGGTGGATGAGTTCAAGGTTGGGAAGGTATGCCTTCACATGATGATGAAGGACTCAGACGATGAGTTCATTCGCAAGTTATAGTCAGATACTAGCAGTAAAAACCACCCAAGAAGCAGAATCCAGTCTGTAAATCAAGGAGATTATAGGGGTGACCCAAACCAATCAAGCTGGCCTGAGCAGCATGAGCAAACAGGGTCCAAAGGGTAAACAAGACATGGTAATTGAAGAAATCAGGAATTTTGAGGAAGAGCACTGAACCTTGCTACCTTGCTGTTTCTCAGTTCAAACAATGTGCTTGGATGACATGGAGTGATATTGATACAACGAAGCTATCATGGAATACCCTGATTGCAATGGAGCCATTGGCAATATCATTCCTCCTGTGATCTACCTATGATCTATCAAATGCGACAAAATCTCAAGCTGTGTGGGTACACTGACACTGATATATGCGCATTATGTCAAAGTGATTGAGAGACTTTACATCACATCCTCTCTGCATGCCCACAATCACTGCAGATGTACATATGGTGTCATAAAGTCCTGGAAGTGATCATGGATTTAGTCTGTATGCAGTGTAAAGCAGCCAACAACCAGCTTGTAATAGCCAGAGAACCTAGGATACATTTCCACAAGGAAGGTGAATGCTCTCTGTGAAAGACCCAAATAACTCCCAACATGACACTACTGAGTGGTACACATCATTCAGATGCATGCTGACATTGTAATGTGATCTGATTCGAAGAAGTTTGTCGTCTTAGTATTAGTAGAATTAACAGATCCATAGGAGATCAGTGAGTAGGCACAGGAGTGAAAGAAAAACCACTACAATTGACTGCATGGAAAAGGGATGGATAGGTCATGTGCTACTCTGGTGTGGGGAATTCCTTAGACAGTCAATCATTTCCTTCCTTTTGAAGGTGGGCATTACTGTCTAGAATCTAAAGCATGTTTCACATCATCTCCAGACCACAGCTCAACAGGCATGGAGTTGGATCTAGTTAAGATCCAAAATAAATTAAGTTAAATAAAACCATGCTCACAACACAAAGTTTACTTCTGACATGAAACACATCTGTATACCTTCTATTCTACATCATTAATAACAATCACCACGATCACATTGTGCATTTTAACAATGTTGAAAATTTCAGTTACAATTGTAAAAAGAAATTGTAAAAGTATACAAAAACAATACTCTGTCCAGTGGCACCAGCTTTGTTTTGATTTGAGCTTTCTCGAAGACTGGAAGGTTGGAGACCTAATTCTTCAATTTAACATTCATAATTGATCAAAGCTTTTGCAATAGAAAGTGTAAACAAGAAAGAAAAATTAACACAAAACAAATAAATGACAATATTTGATTTACGAAATTAAGACAACATTATATTTGTTTTGTCCATTATTTTTAGAATCTACTTGGCCTGAAATAGAAAATAGATAAAATTCATTACCATGAAGGGGGTCTGATGTCCAAGAGCCAATAGACGTAATCCAAGACCATGAAGAATATTAATCATTCCTGACACACCAGCATATTTGCCAAATGCCACCAATCTTTGACCATTGTTATCTAGCATTTTCTCATAATCGATAAGGCGAATGTTCTGGGAGAAAAAGAAAAAAAAAGATAAAAATGTGATTTTTTAGCATATTAACTGTTTTTGTCATGCAACATCCAAGTAATAATAATAATGATAATAAACAAAAATTAAATAAAGTGAATTAAAAAATTTCAATTCGAGTTTGAATCACAGAATAATAACGAGTAAAGCAGTTGTTTAAAGAATTGTTTTCAAATTTTTTTGAATATTTTAAATATTCAAGCTAACCTTTTAAAAAAATTGAATGCAATACTTTGCCTACTGAGGACCTAGAAATGCAGTTAGCTCTGTTAGCTATTTTTATTAGCTATATTTATAGTCTATTAAAACCAAATTGATTGATACATTTTGGTCAAAAGATGCCAGAATAACAAAATTGTCAGCAAAATAATTTTGTAAATGTCACATCCCTTTGGAATACATGTAATCATGTCTCCAGTTTTATTTATTATCTGTGAAATATCATGCCTTCTTGGAAAAGATAGTGGAGTAGTTTCCCATTGCTTTTTCCATCATTTTGGAATTCAGAGTTTTCCTTCTCTCAAACTGGTTGCCACGCAAGAATAGAGAGTCCAGTCTACCCTGATGTTTAAAACAGAGTTGGGAGGAGAAGAAATGGATTCCTACCTTTCCCCATGAGTATTTGTGCGAAAGTTAATGCAAAAGCATTGGGCATAACTCAGCTTGCTAATCCCATTTTTCACACCAATTACCTACATGCATATTGTAGTAAACTAAAGATAATTTTAAAAAAGAGGTGATACGATGGATAATACACTAGTGAGCAGAAAATAATTTGACTTATAAAGCAAAAAGAAATATTAATATTTATTCATATTTTAACTTTATTTAGCGTCTTTTCAGGACACAGACAATTATGGCTCACCAGTTTCTTGCATGTTGTTACTCAGCAATATCTTTTCTTTTATGGCCCCTCACTTAATGCTCATCTTAATTCCTAGCTTCTAAATACCTTGCTGATTTTTGATGCATAATATTTAAAGTGCTGAAGAGAAATTTTAGACAAAAAAAAATATGGTGGTTAAATGAAAAAAATTCCACTTTGAAGTGCTTACATTATGATTTTAAATGAGAAGCCTTCAAAAATTGTTTGCAGCTTGCTTTCTGCATGTCATATTCTTCAGACTTACCATCTTCAGATGATCACATGCTTTGATTTGTGAAGTATCAATTCTAATCACATAAGTTCCAAAAAGAATTCATTGAATCAAAACTAGATTTGTTTTTATGATGTGATGTACAATTTCACTTAAAAAGGTGAAATAAACTAGAAAAATATCTTGATAAGCACACTATTTACATTGCTTGGACTATCATCCTCATCTTTGTTGCCATATTTATTACAATGTTTTGGCTGTTATACACTCTGGCCTTCTTCAGGTGGTCAGAATGCTGAACCGAACCCTTTATTTCACTCGCTGGGGCAGACTGTTCTAGTTCCACGTGCCATGTCTAATGGATGTCAGTTATCAATTATCTTCTGTTAATTCCCCTCTCCAAGTTCTCCACTGCCTTAACCAGGGATTGAACTCACACTCTTTGGGTCCTGTCACTGGATCTAACTAACATCTTTATCCACTGTGCCATGTGTCCTTGAGATGGTGAGCTTGGACATGGTGAGTTTGTTCACCGAGGTGCCCTCTCAGTAGTCAGTGACATATTGGCCTCTGACTCATCTCTAGGAGAATGGACCAGTATTCCGATAGATAATCTGAAGGAGATGTTGACTTTCTGTAGACAAACAACACACTTCAGAATGGAATCACACATATCGACAGGCTTAGCAATGGTGAATTATCACCAGAAATGGTGAATATATACACGGAATATTTTGAGAAAATAGCATTAGAATCTATATGTCTAAGGACAACTCCATGGTTAAGATACGTAGATGATACTTTCATACTTTGGCCACACCAGGAAGATGTCCAGGTTCTACAGGAACATGTCAACTCAATAAGACCTTCGATACAGTTCACAATGGAGAAAGAGAGTATCAACACACTCCCATTCCTGGATGTTCTAATATCTTGAACACAGAATGAGTTCAAGACATCTGTATACTGCAAACCAATATTCACTGGACAGTACCTCAATCTCAACGCCCACCATCCATACAGCATAAAGAAAGGGATTGTCTGCTGCTTACAACACCGAGCAAAAGTCATAAGTGGTGACCCAGAGACATGAGATAAAGAATTGGTCAGTATAGGTTGTGCTCTCTACAACGTAACAACTACCCTAGGCACATGGTAGCAGCCCCAATAAACTGGGATAGGTGGGTACAAGAGGACAACAACACTCAGAAAACAGTCTGCCTGTCTTATGTGAAGGGGTTATCAGAGAAAATACAAAGGATCTGCAGTCCATATAACATCAGGACAACCTTCAAAAGCTGGAAGGCACTTCGCAGATGCCTCTCCTGAGTAAGACCCCCCATAGAGGAGAACATGACTGTGTGTACTCCATCCCGTGCAGCTGCAGAAAGAAATATAAAGAAGAGACATGCCGCCCCTTTAAAGTAAGGCTTCAAGAACACCAAAAAGCTGTAACATAAGGGGAAGTGAAAAAATCAGGTGTGGCTAACTACATATGGAGGGAAAAGGGAAATCAACGCCCTGTGGGATCAAGTTGAAATCATAGACATAGAACATCATTGGAAAATTTGCAAACTTAAGGAATCAGCACATATGCTAGACCACAAAAATCTGCTGAGCCAACCAAGCATAGAAATGAATACAATATGGGAACCAGTAATAAGGAGTGCCAGAGAAAAGCAATAATAACAACGAAAATTGCAATATGAGCTATGGTAAAAAAACATGTAATGATAACAGCAAAAATTGCAATATGAGAACTGGTAAAAAATCGTTGCTGAAGACATTAGGTTTATAATACCCAGAAATTCATACACAGATGTCCTCAAGGACACATGGCACAGTGGATAAAGGCATTAGTTAAATCCAGTGACAGAACCCAAAGTGTGTGAGTTTAATACCTGGTTAAGGCGGTGGAGAACTTGGAGAGGAGAATTAACAGGAGATAACTGATATCCATTATGGCATGTGGAAGTGGGACAGTCTACCCCAGCGATTGAAATAAAGGGTTCAGTTCAACATTCCAACCACCTGAAGAAGGCTGGAGTGTACAATGGCTGAAATGTTGAGATAAATATGGCAACAAAGATGAGTCCGAGTAATATAAATCTCATCTCAAAAATATAGACAGATCTTGATAAGTATAAAAAGAATTGCTAGAAACCTAATATTATACTAGCTGGAACTATGAGAATTCTATGAGTGCTGAACCTAATACAGATTGCGTCTAAATTACACACACACACACACAATCTTGAAATACTAAAGAGTAAATTTATTCAATAAAATTGCAACTGGTTTCAACCACAGCCTCTAGACAACTTTGGAATCTCTTTCAACTCTTGTTTTTGATAAATGCGGTCATAATCCTTGCCTTCAGTTAATCTTTGGTGTTACAAGGAGTTTTGTTGGTCTTTCTCTCAACTGCACATAATAATCAAGGGGGTTGCAGTCTGGGGAGTTAGGTGGTTGCAGAAATTGTCTGACACCCATGACTGAGTTATCCTGCTTGTGTGGCATGGTGCAGAGTCCTGTTACTAGACATAGGGTCTTACAGCAGCCACCTTCTTGACCCAGAGATGCACTATCTCCTTGAGGCACTTGATGTAGGCTTCCATGTTGAATCTAAGACCATCACCTACAAATTCAGTTCTTCTCTGAAATGTTTATATTGGAATTTTCAGTACGACTGACAAGCAGTACAGTATACAATTTCCAAATTTCTGGCGGAATGAATTGTACCATGGTGCTCTTTTTCTCACAGAAGGTGTCCAACTGATCCTACTACTGCAGTAAACAAAATCAAAAACAAACATGTATATGTGAAATTAAAAATATAAAATGGCGACAATCGCACCGTGTATTATCCATTATCTCATGCCTCTGATCTTCCCATATCTTATTCCCTCTTTTATCCTTTCCAATACAACTAAGTTTATTATCTCATTATCTTCCCATATCTTATTCCCTTTTTTATCCTTTCCAATACAACTAAGTTTATTATCTCATGCCTCTGATCTTCCCATATCTTATTCCCTCTTTTATCCTTTCCAATACAACTAAGTTTATTATCTCATGCCTCTGATCTTCCCATATCTTATTCCCTCTTTTATCCTTTCCAATACAACTAAGTTTATTATCTCATGCCTCTGATCTTCCCATATCTTATTCCCTCTTTATCCTTTCCAATACAACTAAGTTTATTATCTCATTTATTATTCCCTCTTTATCCTTTCCAATACAACTAATTTATTATCTTCCCTCTATCTTCCCATATCTTATTCCCTTTTTATCCTTTCCAATACAACTAAGTTTATTATCTCATGCCTCTGATCTTCCCATATCTTATTCCCTTTTTATCCTTTCCAATACAACTAAGTTTATTATCTCATTCTGATCTTCCCATATCTTATTCCCTTTTATCCTTTCCAATACAACTAAGTTTATTATCTCATGCCTCTGATCTTCCCATATCTTATTCCCTCTTTTATCCTTTCCAATACAACTTTCTTCCCATATCTTATTCCCTTTCTGATCTTCCCATATCTTATTCCTTTTTATCCTTTCCAATACAACTAAGTTTATTATCTCATGCCTCTGATCTTCTCTTTTGTTTGTATCTTGTCATTTTTTTTTTTAATCAATTCACCTAATGCAAGTCAATAATGCCAGTCAGACACAAGTGGCTACTGAGAGTAAAAGTAAATGAGTAGACTTTAGAAGGAACCAGGAACCCAATCTTAAACAGGAAACAAGGGATAAACCTCTACTCCTGTTCAAAAAAATCAGGGAGGAGTGCAAACCTTATCTCACTATTGCCTGGTTATATTTTTATTATAACATTATACAAACATGGATTTATTCTCTATGTAAAACAAAGGAAATAAAAAACATGAATAAATTTTCTTCTACATCATCCTTTTTAATCTTTCTTCTGCTCTATTCTTCATCAAGGATTTCAATGTATTGCAATTTCTACACTTTTCCATCTGCACCTGACTTTCTAACTTTTACTCATCCTCTGTTGATAATAAGCCAGAAAATATCACTTTTTCTCTCCATACTTTCTCCTTCCCTCTCTCTAAATGTATATATACTTTTCCATTTCACTTGGTTTTCAATGTTTTCTCTCACTTTCTTACATTCTTCCTTTCCACCTTTACACTATTGCCCCTTCCCTTTTATTCTTTCTGGCTCTATATTACTATTCAAGTTTTTTCATCTGAAAATGTAACCAATTCCAGCCCAGAGATCAGGCAGATACTACATTCTAATCCAAAAAGGAGTAAGTGTTGTACATACACACAAACAGAATTATATTTACAATAGCAAATTTTTATATTGAAATTGTGGGTGTATCAAAGTTATTTTTAAATTACATTTACTCCAAAGCTTATTTCACGTACATCTAAAGACTATCAATAATATCTCAAGATTTCCTATGACAACAGTATATCATTATTATTATTATTATTATTATTATTTGGGCATATCAAAAGTATTTTCACTTTTTCATCACTTTAGTCCAAAGCTTATTTCATCTAAAGACTATCTCAGATGTCATTATATTGTCATCACTACTATACACTTGTAGCTTTGATTTCAGATGTTATAATAGTCTTGACAAACATTGAGACTCTGACAATTTTGAAGGATCAATTTAAATTGGGTTTCATAGATGCTGAAGCTGCTTACAGAAATTAAGAGGCTGAAGGAAATTAAATAATATGTGAGCATATTGTCCAAAAGTAGGTTAAGTATTTCATTGCTTGTGATTTACAATAATTTAAAAAAATTAGAGAATCATTAGTTGCTATAATGCTTTAAAACACAAGGTAAAAAGCAGTACATTCTAAAAAGTGAAGATCATCAAAACATATGCAGAGCATTACTGAAAACTGAATTCAAACCACCTGATGCTTTGTAGGTCTTGGCTCTTTAACTTCTAAGAGGAGGGACAGGGTAACCTCAAAATCTCCTGTCATTGCACTATTCTGACTTGAATGTCACTATGAACCACATTTGTGGGATGGAGGTGAGTGGTGACCAGAGTGGCACAAAATGCACTAACTGAATATTTTTTTTAACTTTTTATACACTTTAGTATTAAAACTATAGATTATATTATTGGGAATGACCTCTACACCAGCCAAATTCACCTGCAGATGGTTGGAGAATGGAATGGTAGAAATGGGAAAAAAATTTCATAAAAAACGAATTTTATTAACTAATCTGAAAAATTCACTTCTTTTTTCTTAACTGAAGTTAGATTTAAAATATATGCTTTTTGTTTCTTCAAAAAATCATCTGATTTAAAGTTGGGCCAAGGCGATCTTTATTGAGAATTACCTTTTCTAAAATGGCATCGAGCAAATCCATGTTTTCTTCTTGGGCTTTGATGGTGTGCGAAAAGAATGCATAAGTCTTGTTTGGCATCAAGAGATCAATAGGTATTTGTTTTACTCCAACAATAAGGCTTGCTTCTCCGATCTCTTCTTGACAAATTGCACCAGCTCTTTGGTATTCCTGAAAAAGAAAGGAATCAATAAAATAAAAGTTAAAATAATATAAAATCATTTTAGAATTTTTTATTTTCTCAATAATTAGTAAAAGTATGGCGTTCAAAGGTCATACAAATTGGAATTAATGCATTGCAACAATAAAAAAAATAATTTGTATTTTAGAAATATATGAATTTTTATTTTGATATTGTGACACCTCAAGGTCCAGAATTCTGTTCAAAATGGCCTACAAATGTTGCACTCTGGCTCTGTCTCATGTTCAAGAATGGGCTGATAGAAGCAACAGGGAATGTTATTCTTGATTGGGAGACCTCCTCAATGTGAAAAAGTCTTCCACTTATGGGTTGAAATGTTAATCCCAAACTGTGGTAGTATTGCATAACAAGAGCTAGGATTGATTTTATGAACTAAAATAAGACACAAAATGAGGAAAACAAAAAGATTTGACTGTAGTTTGCAAAAGAAAACAAACGCCACCTTTATCCAAATAAATAGGTAGCTTAAGAAAACTTTTAGCGTAATAGACATCATCAGTAAATGGTATCATGCCGTTTATATTTTCTACACAAACCGGATGTGCATCTGTAAAAGGACAATATAAATAAAGACGAAAGGAAAACGTATCTTAATTGACATATTTCATCTTCTGATGAATATATATATATTAAATAAAGATCCAAGTAGTAAATGTGATAAAATAGTCATGCATCTTTAAACATAAAATAGCTATAAAAATAATGCATACATTAACTTTTTTGTATTCTCTCACAAAACAATATACAAACCATTTTTTTGATTTTATCAAAATGGTTAAATTTATTCATGATAAAATTTGATTAATCAAAAAGATAAATTTTTATAACATTACACATTTTCTGGCTAAAATAATACTTAAAGAAAATAATATTAAAATAGTTATCTTAATAAAATTTTAATTCTATATTTTCACTTAAATATCATAAATTAGAATTTGAATTATATGTATTTACTATTTTCTTTATATATACACAATTTATTTTTCTTACCATAACTTTGTTATTTTCCTACATCGAATCAAATATTTTAATTTATTTTAGTATTTGTCCATGTACAGATCTTATTGATTTGTTCAGATATTTTCAATTTTATTAAATGTTAAATTTTCAAAAGTATTTTGAAATTAACTACACCACATTTAAAGTTTCCATGGTACAATTTCTTTTCTTAGTTTTTACAATTGTTCTGATGATCTTCTTACTGAATGAAGCCTTAACAAAAACCCAAAATTTAAAACATCCAACTGGTTTTCATATATTCTATATTATATGAATTGTTTAAAAGTTCTTGGCTGAACTAAAGAAATTCCAAAGTAATTTCTGATGTTTGATCATATTTTGGGAAGTGGGTCAGGTCAGAAACTTTTCCACAACCTTTTGTAGAAAAGGTCTGTTGATAGCAATAGCGTGGTGGGGGGAATGAGAAAGAAAGAAAAAGCTTGATAAAATAGAAAAAGAGAAATAGTTTTATGCAGAGATGCCAACAAGATAAAAGAATTACATTGGTGCCAAGTCTAAGAAAAGAATAAATAGCAACTGATATTTTCCTTTCATCCAACTCCAACCTTACCCAGGCCATCAGCTATGTCATCCAAGCCACCTTCACTTACCTCTCCAATTGTATCTTTCAACAAACACTAGTCCTATAAATAGGTGAGCATGTGTAAACACATACAACTTGTGCAAAAAAAAAAAAAAATATCACATTCTCACACCCATATATATGGTTATTGAAGCCTCTGTCTTACACTGCATTAAACATACTGCTATTATGGATAAAGACTATATACATGAAGATTTGAAATTTACAGATTTTTATTTTTTAAAGCATTTCACCCTAAGCAAGGTGAGAGGGCCAGTAACACACAGTTTAGGTTACAGAGAATTAGAGTAAGAGTAAAGAGGGGTGTTTGAAGAAAGGATATAGAGAAGGATAGGTATCAGGATCAATGCATCAGAAGATGTCAATTGACATTACATTTGAATATTTGAAGATTATAGCTATCAGGGAAGCAAGTAAGAGGAAGGGAGTTCCACTGTCAGGAAGTGTAAGAGGAGCTGTTGGAGTAGAAGAAGCAGTTACAGTTAACCGTTTCGACAGTGAAAGGGTGGGACCGAGATGTCAACCTAGTAACATGCTTAGAAAAGTATTAAGTAATAGTAGCAGACGATCATCATATGCAACATGGACAGAAAGGAACTGTTACAGATTGCAACATAATGTGGCCTCAGAGTTGCCCACTGGAGGTGTGTGAGAGACACGCATCCATGTAGAGTTGGTCGGTTTTGCAATTTATGTTTTGGTATCGGTTTCCATTTATTTTTATTTTTTTCTTGATGCTGTGGTTTTCAGTTTTCAGTTTTTAATTTATTATTTTTGCTTTCTAAGGAAGCCATTCATTTTCTTGTGTAATGATAGCATTTCCAGTCAATATTTGATTTCATTTGAGATTGATAAATTTGCAACTTAGTCTGTTCAACTCGCAAATTCTCGTGTATTTCTTGTCCAATCTTAAAAATATTCATATGGCAAGAAGGAAAATAATCTTTCTAAATATGTAATTGGTATGTGTTTTATTCATTGAATTATTTTTTTACAGCAAGTTAAAAAGTTATTTTGCTGAAAATGCGGAATATGATTTTTTTAGACTAAATTTTACACGTTACTTTGTTTCACAAAATCAAAGTGATCAATCTTTATCAATATTCTTGAAATTGTACTCAATTAGAAATCACTGCAAAATTACAACCAGGAAGATATTCATTTCTTCTCTGACCTGAGGAAGCAAATTCATTCAAAAATTATAATTACTCCTCAAAGAAAAAAAAGAAAAAAGAGCAACTGATAGTAATAAATGTGTGATAAAAGAACTTTCAAGTTATTGAAACTACTGTCAGACACTGACTAGTGACTAAAAAAAAAAAGAATAATTTTTTACATTGGGTTTAAAAAAATGACATGAATTTTTGAAAATATACACACTTTAAAACTGAAATTAAAACTATTTTTTTAATATCTAATTTTAGGTGTATTATTTGCTAACTAGAGAAATATAATTTTATTTGTAGAAAACAATTTTTTACACTAGAGAGAATCACATATCTGGAATTTTCCTAAAACTAGTCAATTAAAAGTTTTTAACATATTTTTGTTCAATCTTTTTCTCTTACAATGGTATAAATGTTGATAAAATTTAATTTTATTAACATCTGAAGGTCTTTTTCAATATTTAATTAAACCTTTAGAAAAAAGCACAAATCTGAAATAAAGATGATCTGAGTGAGACTTGAACCCACAGTTTTTTTTTCTTTTACAGCTCCTTTAACTTTAAAATTGACAGAAGATTCAAATGTAATGTTTAAGTTTACTCTTCACTTTTCCCACCAAATTGCATGGAGCATATTTAATAGTCTTTCTATATATACACTAGTAGTACTAATAGTTGTATGGGTAGCACAATGGTTATCAGCACAGAAAGTAAAATCAGCAATCAGAGTTCAAATTCTTGCCTAGTCTGCTTCACTCACTTTTCCATAAATGGGAATGATATGACCATCTCTTATTCTTTACAAGCTATGAGTTAAAAAGCAGGGAAAATTGGGTTTGAGATTCTTGGCTAAAAACTAGTCTAAGAGAAAGACTACAGGAAACTACTATTTTTTTCCAAGATGTCGTAACAATTCATAGAATAAGAAACAGAATCTGTAGATAGCCGCCATGAATGCCTACACCCAGAAGGAACATGAGATTTAAAAACAAAAACAAAAAAACATAAGTTGTAATATTATCTTGAATTACTATTAGATGAAGGATTATCAACCACTGTTAGTTTTTGACTAGTATTTCTTTCATTTTAATTTTAGTTGATTTGTATCACTAAAATATTTTGTTAGAAACAAATAAAAGAGTGCTGATGTCAATCCTCCTTTATGGCAATGCATGTGGGACAATTTCCTCATAAATGAAGAGACTTGAGGCAACAGATGTGGTTCTACAGAAGGATATTGAGAATACCACAGATGGAGAATGTGAGCAACTAGGAAGTTTTAAGGAAACAGAAACAAAAATTAGATAGTTGACATTTTTGGGACACATGATAGGAAAGAGGTCTTGATGAATTTGATACCCACAGGGTATATTAAGAGCAGGTGGGACAGAGGAAACAGCGAGTACCTAGCAAGCTTGTGTAAATGGATGGCAGAACAGAAAGTGGGAAGGATAGTAAAGAGAAAAACAAATCTTAAGAGTCACAAAAGACAGCAAGTAAAGAGCGATCATCACTGAATGGACACAGCATAACAAAGAAGTAGATCACTATCAACTATTCAGACTGTCTTTATTTTCAATTCTCACTACAGCAAAATAATGCTACAAATAGCTACAATGAAAAATAACTAAAATTAAGATGAAATAAATAATATTAAGAATTTAAGAATAGTACCTTTATAGTTTTTTAGATTTATGAACAGAGAAAATATCTTGATAATGATTAGTAAAATGGCCCTTCTTCTTGTAGCAAGTTTCACCTCTTCTAATACTCTTTTTCTGTGAATCCCATAAAAAAAAAGAAAAGAAAACTGTTTTACTTACCATATATACTCAAATATAGTGCAAGTTTTTATGATCAGTTTTTTTAAACAAAAAATGGGAGGTGGTGGTAACACTGTACACAGGTAATTTTTTTGAAGAGGTTAAAAAGCATGCATTTTCAGTGGCTGTTTACACTATACACAGGTAAATTATTTCTGGAGGGGTTAAAAGTCATGCAAAAAAAATTCAGGACTTGCACTATACATGAAGTCAGCTTATATACAAGAATATACGGTAAATATTAATCCAACACCCAAATAACAGGTTAATATGATCATCACTGTGGACAAACACATGACAGACACAAGATCCCCAAAACTACAGAATCACTTACCTGCATGTTATAAGCTCTTCTGTTGGAAGGCTGCACAATCACTTTGACACCATTCTTTACTAAGTCTCGGACATGAGCTGGTGACAGAGGAGCTCGACGTTCCCAGACATTCACATCCTCACGACGGATGGCAAGAACTGACTTCCCATCCCATACTGAACGATGACTAGTCACATAGAGTGAGGAAATGTTCTTCAATTTGGATATTTTAGAAGACCACATTCTGAAAAGGTCTTGAAGAAAAAAAAGAAAAGAAAAAAAGATAGCCGATGAAAATAAATTCATTGAACATTTAAATATTTGATCAGGAGAAATAAATTTGTTCTCTCATATATCTCGAAGAAATTTATACAAAGAATTAAATAGCAATGTTAATGTGATTAATAGTGAAATCACTTCGCTAACAAGACTTAATGAGACATTAACTTACTATCAATTGCCTGAATAAAAAGACCCTTATATTCAAGTTGTTGTCAGATGCTGAGTACTTTCAACAATTTCAAATTGTCATCTTCAGAGTGCAATTTTTTCTATGCATAGGCAAAGATTAAGATGAAATATGTGAAGACCAAAAGATATTTTTTAATTATGCAATTTATTGACAATTTGAATTGATGGTAAGTTAATGTCTCATTAAGTCTTGTTATATATATATATATATATATATATATATATATATATGAGAGAGAGTGCATATCTGTAAAAGGACAATATGAATAAAGACAAAAGAAAAACTTATCTTAGCCAACTCTTTTCATCCTTGATAGTCCCTCGGAGGATAAAATGCACCAGCTAAGGTAAGTTTTCCTTTTGTCTTTATTTATATATAGTGCATATATTTTTACATAACAATATATAGTTTTTGGAAAGCTTATCATATAACCATTTCAAGTTAATAAAACAGATTTGGAAACTGTGCACCTTTTAAGAAATTGCCTGATATGTAAAGAGATCTTTTTGATAACAGGTAACAAACATTTCCTTTTAAATCAATGATAAAACACTTTTATTCTTAAAAACTGTCACAAGGTATGACTTGTTTTCAGCTATGTCTTGAGTGTTGATAAATTTACTCAACTTGTTTTGTAATCTGTCACACGTACATTCATAGAAGTAATAACAGGAAGACTTCAATGTAAAATAATAAAATATTTAATAATTAAATGCAATTAAAATGCATTAACAACAAAGAAATAAAGAGTCAGAGTTATTAGTTAATACACAACTGCATAGAGCAGAAGTACTAATTCTTCTTGAACATGTGACACTTGACTTTAACATCCGGGTTAATGAAATAGTCAAACATGTAATTAATTGTAACTCCCCAGTCATGATATCTATCTATAGTAAATGACAGTCTACATTTTCATTGTCTAGAGATTCATGTTCAAAGTCCAGTGTCAGCAGTGACACTTTTCAGTCATAAATGACAATTTGCATGACTGATATAACCCCTAAATGATGTTCTACCTCTTCAAATGACATTTTCCTGAGACATCTCATTGATTTTCTTGTCAATTTTTAGCAACCAATTTTGTTGATTTTTTTTTTTTGCATTGACATTGGTGCAGGATTGGTAAACAAAGCATATATTGAGTATATAAACTTGAAAGATTGCATTTTCAAAGTGAATGAGAAAGCCATATAATTTGATTGCAGTAATTGTGTAATTCATATCAATTTCAAATTTAGACGTCATAAGCAACAGATTATTGATAGTAGGTTATGTTCCGTATTGTCTCTCAGCAAATTCTCTGAAAAAGTGTGATCTTAAGTAGCAAGTGTTTATGAAATCTTACGAGACACTTTGGTGCTTTATCAGCTTGGAATGAGAAATTGCAGAATTGAGTTTGAATTCAGTACATTCACTTACACACAAATAACCCTTGGGAAAGCTATGAATCCACCTCCTCTCAGATAGGTGCTAAATAGTAAAACTATTAGCTGAAAAAAAAAAATCATTATTATTATTCTCAAGAAATTGTTAATGTAATATCTATTCATAAAAAAAAAAAAAGAAAAAAGGAAAAGAATTATTCTAGCTTTAAATAACTTATATTGATAAGCCATAAAAAAACAAAAACAAATCAATGGGTGCTTTATGAACAGTTGGTTGGTGAGGAAATACAATACCAGTAAGAAAAGATGATTTTAACAGAAAAGATTATCAATTTCTTAGAAATGTATCACCCACCCAAAGTTATATCAATGACACCAAATGGTTCATCAATATCTTATCCATTATCATTGATCACAGGAATTGGGTGGGAAAGTTAGGACCACTTGTTAGATTATTTCATAGAGGAAGAGAGTGTACAAGGCCTGATAAATAAACATTGGTCTCATGCTTGACAAATACTACACTTACCAACCCATTGTGGGTTATTTTAAAACTGAAACATAATTCTTTTTTTGCAAGTTAATAATTTGAAAATAACAATGATTTTCTTGATAAAAATCCTATTATTTAACCCATAGTTAATGGGAGGATATGAATTCATATCATTCCCAAGGGTATTTGCATATATGTGAATATAATGAACCCAATTGGAATTTGAACTCATCTGATTTCTTAATCAATGCTGCAAAGTACATAGTTTTATACTCTCAGGTAAAGGTATGTTTTTTAGATATGTAGTTTGTAGATCATAAAACGTATTGTTGGTAACTTTACTATAAAAATGTATTTTTATATTTTTTTTAGCATTGCATTGATTGTATTGTTAGTCATTTTATTATAAAAATGTACTGTTGATTTTTGTTTGGTGGTTCATTATTTGCTCATAGCTGAGACACTAACAGTAATACCAGTCTGGGTCAGGGTGGATCTGGAAACAACAGCAGCTATGAGGTGTGGTTCTCTGCTCCTAAAATATTCAATCAGAGACCTTGCTACCAAATATAGTTTATTGTCATAGCCAGGACATGCAATTAATGGTGAAGATATGATTGAATAAAATGTACTTTATTCTTTTTACAAATAAAATTGATAAACAAAAAGAATTATTTATAATACAAGAGGGTGCTGAAAAGTTCTTGGCCTAAACCACTTCCCAAATTCTGATCAAATGACTAAATATCTGAATTCTTGGTTGGGTTAAAAACTTTTCGGCACTCTTTCATATACCTCAATAATTAGAGATCTGTCTTTTTACAATATATTGGGATTGAAAGTTAATCACTGTAAAGGTCAGGGTCTATCTCCCCAATGAAAGAGGCGTAAAATTGCCTGTGTCATACATGGTCATGTAAATTACCCAGTGCCTTAGGACTAATAAAATGCCTGTCGGTGGGCATAAAAACATTTATATAACTGACTGAGGCACACATGAGCAGGCAGATTTTGTCAGAATATTGTCAGTCTTCATGGTGGACAAATGCTTGTACAAAATTTGCTGTTCCATGAAAGACAGTGGTAAATCACTGGAGTCCCTGGTGGTTAAACCACAGAAAATAATCAAGTGTTTGAGCTTTTTCATATGGGATGTATTGCTACCCACACCGGAAGAGTGCATAAAAAGCTGCCAGTTGAGAGTTAATTACAAAAGACCTTATTTTAAGAACTGAGCACGAAGGCAGGCATAAAACCAGCATAGTGATAATCAAGGTCTCTCCTCAGATTATCAGAGAGCATCTTGTTGCTTTCCTTTTGCAGTATAGCCAGATATTGGGTGCCTCCTGTGATAGCCTTCCTAAACCGTCTGGATGTAGGTGGCCTGAAATTGCCAGTCATCGTAACTGGACGCAAGCTAACGTGCTGGAAGTGTAGAGAGACTAGTCACCTCTCCTCTTCCTGCTCAGAGAAGAAAACCTCTGGAAGTTAGGCTCCCTACTGATGAAAATTCCCCTCTGGTCACATCTGTAAATTCTGCTACACCTGTGATGAGCATACCAACATCCAGTACCAGAGTGGTTAAAATCCCGGTTGGGTCTAGCTCACAACCCACATTCCCTGAAAAGCCTTTGCCTGTTTCTTATGCTGTTGTGGAAAAGAAAAATGGGAAATGGCTGGTTGCTGGTAGGTTCAAAGGAAGCACTAGACAGCAGTACCTCAGTCCCCTAAAGCCCCCAGGATTAAAGGCAAGGACAGACCCACTCACTCTACCAGTGTTAAGGGTGATATCCTGGCCTCAAAAACCACCACCTCAATTCAAGAACTACAAAAAAAAGTATGGCCCAAGATTTGAGAAGACTGAGAAGATAAAGCTTCTCAAAGCCAGATTAGAAGCCAACTTAATTCACCATCCAAGAAGACAGCACACTTCTTGACCTCTACCCCATCCATCCCTGTTGTGAAAATTGCAAAAAAATTCCACTCAGTACAGAACCCAACCCCTTCAGAAAAAAAAAATCTCCTTTCACACCCCATGTCCTACAGCCAGTCTCCCCTTAGCAATCCTGAAATGCCCCTACCTTGCAAAAGACAACAAAGCCCTTCTGTGGAGGCAAGGGAGAAGAGGAAGAAAACCATCAAACTTCTATACAATTTAGAAGAGGATGTCTGTCAAATTTCCCTGGTCCAAGCTGAAAGAGCCCAAAATTATGGTACTCGAATCAAAGAACAGATATTTATTACCCATAAGACAATATGGAGATAAAGACACGGAAGTCCCACAAAACTTTCCAGAGGCAAAGTGGATTCTGATAGTCATCTGAACTGGGTTGGGGGCATAGCAGACATGGGATATGGTCGAGGAGGCTATCAAAATCATTTGAAATTAACCATCAATTGTCATCATTGAAAATGAAGAAATCAACAAACTGAAACAGTTCTGTTTAGGGAGGGTCCCACTTTTAGCTCACCCACTCCTCTATAGGGTTTTAAAACAAAATTATCCCTGGGACATAGTACTTTCCCGGGAAAGACAGTCTATCAAGAATGAGATGGGCCAAGGGTCATTGAGGGAGGCTGTTGGTGTACCTACCCTGACCATGTTCAAGCCAGTTTTGCAACCCTATTCCGACTGATAATAGCTCTCTGGTCAGCAGGTTTGAATGCCTTGGGCCTGAGGTTGAAGTCTCACTTGTGGATGTATCTTGTTTGCAGGAGACCCAGTTTTCAACTTGTTTGAAGACATTTAAGAGGTTTGTTCTTTATTCGGCATGTTTTGACGGATGCTTAAGAGGTGTTTCCTGGCTGGTGAGCAAATCTGTGAAAGCAGCATGTTATCTAATCTTTGCAGATCCGGCAGGCAGGCTTTGCATGCTGGATATTACCATAAAGGATAAAGCT